AAGCCTAATCAAGCCTACTCTTGCTCGGTGGTACTTCTCGTTCCCTTTCTCTTTTTAAACGTATCCAATAGCCACAAGTAGTTTCCGCTTAACTTCCTACACTCATTCCTTCTATTCGGGGTGTTGGCTGTTTTGTTGATTTCTATCGTCTCCCTAATCTTTCGCCTACTGGTATAGTCTCCATATCCAGCTAAGCGTTTGGCATTAAACCAATCTATCTGGTGTCTTGTGCGAGCCATGTGTTCAGCCAATTGCGGGTTTTGGACCCACATACCCTTGCATGCTGTTTTGTGCTTGGATAACCTCTTATATATGGTCTCTTCCACATAGGCACTGGAGCATGAACACAAAATCTTGTAACGGCCCGATCTGGAGAGCGGGTCAGAAAATTCTCGAAAAGAAGGCAATACCGAGGAAACTGTTATTTTCCTCTATAAATGGTCCTGATGCCCCACCTCCTCAGTAATTTGCCTAGCTTCCTCGACAGATTACACGATGGCAACATAAGGATTCTGGTAGACTGGTCTGATTTTGTATCTAGTCCCAAATAGGTATTTCCCTCCATCCTATTTGACAATATTCTAAAATAATTGTAAATCAACCCTCGTGTATAATTGTTCTCAACCAGAAGTCTCCCTATTCTCGTCAGTTCCTGGTCCCGATGTTTAGCATCTGCCGGACGCAGGCTCCTTATTATCATAGACTTCAGAACTCCTTTAAACTTTTAAGAGTGATCGGAAAAGAAATTCATAAGGAAACCTGCATTTGTTGGTTTCATATACATGTCTATACCTAATCTGGTCCCCTCTTTGCTAATTAGGACACCAAGCAAGGGTAAGCCGCCTTCCTTTTCCAATTCAATTGTGAATTTTTTTCTTCCCATCGATCCAGTTCATCACACCAAGAAAATTCTCCAGGTTCTCATTGCCATGTTGCCAAATAGCAGAGTAGTCATCCATAAAGCGAACTAATAATTTAGGGACTAAAAGTGCCTCTAGTATTATGCGTTCCTCAAATTGAGCCATGTAATTAAATGCTAAAATTAGCGATCCCAAAGTGGACCACATTGGACTATAAGAAGTGGGTAAACTTGAAGCCTGCCACCTTTCTTGCATGATTTCCTGCTCTGACGATGTCCGTCACATGACGGCCGAAATCTCAGCAAGGATTCATTGGGATCGCAGGGCGGTGCACCGAAGACCTATTAGCACAATTTTACAATCACAGCTTCAGGGCAATACCTCTAGAGCTCCCGGTGAAACCAACTTACGAATCCCTTACACTCGCCTCTTCAAACGAAATGAAAGGTACTCAAACATCAATCTATTAATGGAGTCTTCGAAACTTAGTTTTTTTTACATAACTTGAAAAATAGCGCTTGGAATAAAAAGTAAACTGGGGCTGGAACCGAGTGAAATCGGTGAATCTACCGGCCCATGAAGCAGATCCGGATAGCAGGCCCGAATAGGATCAGCCACTCGAAAGGAAGGGGGACAAGCCAAGCAGCAGGTGCGATGGCGCCACGGTAAATTCGCAAAAAGGGGTACATCTTTTGGGGCATGGAATATAAGCAATTCAGAAGTTGTGGTAGGGCGAGAGTGATACAAGATGTTAGGGAATATAGTCGCCATGACCGAAAGAGGAGTGATAGCACAACAGTTTCAGCAGAAAGTTGGTCTTAACTTGTTTCTTTGACGAGTTGTAGCTTGATGCTGAGAACGGCAAGACTCACTGGCGATGCTGGCGAAACGTCTGAGAATGTAATAACTCCACGGTCCGACGCTGGGACTATAGCAGAGGACTTCAGACAGGTTGCGTCCTACTAAGTCAGCTTGACAACACTTGAAGGTCGCGAAAACGAGGTCAGGCAACATCAATACATTGAAAGGAGACTGCGACAAAGATAGAGGTCAAAACATCTTGGTCTTCGTATCTGCGTTTAGACTTTCTGCTAGCTAGTGTATTTAATAATCTGTTCCACAATAATTAAGTTTAAATTTGGAGAATCAGATCTATTTATAGATGTATGTATGCCCCATAAATGGTCGCCTGCTACTCTTATATAGCTAGATAGTAGCATAAACGATATTTATAAGCTCTTTTAATGTTTAATCTCAGATTCAGAGGCCTTATTTTTAGTCATAGAGGCTTTTGCTACTATAAATTGTATACTTGGCAAGGCAAAATCATTATCTGGTGTCAAAATCTAGCCATATTTTAAAAAAAGTTGACTCTCCGTTTGAGGAGAATAAGGATTAACAATTGGAAATAGATCAACCTGCAAAGTTATAATCTAAGGCGAATAAAAATGCTAATTTTCATGAGATAAAAAGGGTCTTCAAATATGTATGAATTGCTTTGAGGGGAATACAAATCATAATGTAAAGAAGGAGTCTATGTGCCAATTAGATCTATAGTCAAGAGCATAACTTCTCTCGGCTGGAAAATTATTTATAATAGCAATCTTTCGAACAAAGAAATGTTCTTTCTTAATAACTTATAATGAAACTGATACCAGTTTAAATAAGCGATTATAAAGCAAAGCGATTTTCTCCCAGAAAATAATGCAATACCTTGATTTAGTTATGGCGTAACTTAAATGAAATAATATAACACAATTTTTCCTTAAGTTCCAGTGTGTGGAATTGCCTTAATTTAAATAAAACAATAAAGAGTGTGCAAAAATAACCGTGGTACCGGGACTGAGAATTAAGCTGATAGAATGAACAAAAAAAGAAGACTTATTTCTACAGAATTTGCCACATCTGTTTTCTCATTCAAAGTAGAACACGATTTTAACTTGTTTAGGCATCCTGTGACAAGAACTCGAAAAGAGCTTAATCGACATAGAGCATACCGAGCCAAATAACCTTCAATGTAAGGGATGCGTCTATAATGAAAATCAAGGTTTATGTTTGATTAAGCGATGAAATACTAAATTAAGAATAGTATATCTATATTATACAATAAATTAAATAAACACATATTTTCAATGTCACTGCATGGATGCAAAAAATCATCAATACGAATATAGAAGCAATATGAGAAGAAAAGTGACCAAGCAGAGGTGTAGTTAGTTAAATGAAATATGATTGACTAAGTGTTTTTAACTTTATGAAACCAAGTTAGTGATACGTGAAACGTTAAGTCTCACTGAGTACATTTCCATCAATCATACTCGAGGTGATTGAATTATCTAAACTGTTCTAAAATCCCATACTAATTATTGGCATACTAGCTAGGTCAACTGAAAATTTTGGAGTAACGAATATTTTGTTCGGGAATGGGCTATTTTAGGCACTAGCATAACGCGTTAATGAAAAAAACCTTGAATTTTTTCAACCACCGATATAATTTAAATTTAAAGAGCCTGATCGGCACATCAGTTATCCATCTAAGTGCACAACTAATAGACGACGCCAATGTACAAATGCGCTGATAGCGCTGATTTTGAAGCGAACTTAACCGTAAGCAGAGCCCTGCGAATTTGTACACACTTCTGGATGAGCAGCAGAAGACCGCGAAAGGCACATAAATGCAATGCGTGTCAAAGAAAGTAAAATACTAGTAAAATGGGTCAATTAGGCTATTAAGGTCTACGAGAATGGCTAATTCGAGCAATATAATGCAGAATAAAAGTTCAGAGTAGGAAAGACGCTGGGCTGATTAAATAAAACAAATGAAGTCTGGCAAACAGCATTTCAACAAATGTACAGAGTTCAAAGGGGTCAAACTAAGAAAGAAGAGATATGTACTAATATAAATTAAAACCGTGTCCAGAAGGAAGCGCTCCTTATCGGCCTCGCCTCCCAAATAAAAATAAGTGAGCCTGTATAGACTCTTCAGTCGTACGTTTGAAAGAAGAGCGATGTTAGTAATATAAATTAGAGGCTGAAACTGCCAGTCTCACGCATTTGGTTAGGTTACAGACTCAATAGCTCAGGAGTGGCACCTGTACGCATCGAAGAGAGTCCGATTAAGGGGAGTGCCAATCCCCAGGAGATAAGTCTACCTTATCACATACAAAAACAACCCCCCTCAAAAACTATCCAAGAAGCTCCATAAAACAGCTTTTCAAGACATTGAGACTCAAAGAGTGGGCAAGGGTTGCCGTGGAGGTGGGGGCAAATTGAAATCATACAAAAATGAGAAAATGACCTCAAGTCTGAGAAAGACCAGTGAAAGAGAGATAGGTTGCCGGAGGCGGCATGGGGGAAGAAAGCAGACAGCAAGAGAAGGCAATGACGGGACGAAATGCCGTCTCATTTGCGGATAGTGTGCATAAAGGCTAGGGATTTGAGGAAAGAACGATTAGTATAATGAAAAGAATCACAGTGTTCAAGGAAAAATGAGACGACAATCATTGCCAAAGTCTGATTGAGAACCACAATCATGGACTCGCTAAAGTATAGAAGTTCCAGCAAATAAATGGCAAAGCAAACAACTTAAGGTAAGGTTAGTAAGAGGATAATCAGTTGGTCAACTGATAAGAACAAAAGAGAAGAAAGCAGTCAAGCTGGAAACTTGTTTCTCCCTAATCGTCGTACACACTGTCTTCCCGAAATGCGGCTAAAAATGTAAAAGTTAACGAACAGACCAAGTAAAGATGAATCCCAGCTATTCAGTAAGCATGAGAAAGGATTTGATAGTGTTCTGTGTGTCCGATAGTATCCTGTAGGGATGTGATAAAGCTTAATAGAATGTTTAACCGAAAAAGATGAGAGCATATAACTAAATTTTGTCAGTTGAAATAGGAAAGCCGGTATTATTCAGCTTACCATATGGTGAATAGTCTTATAAATTAGAGTGAACGGGTCCAAAAACAATTTATAATTTGCAAGAGTATAACAAAAACAAGCCCTATGATCAATCGTATCCCAAATCTACATCAGATAACTACTATCCTAAACGAAGGATAGGCAAAGTAGAAAATGTGAAAATATGAGGCCCAAATCATTTTGGCAATTAATAAAATCAATTAAAAAAGGTTCGGCTGGCTGGAAAATAAATATAAATAATAGTCAAGCAAATCAGAGAAAAAATAAATTGTCATATTAAAAATCAAAAAGGTTTTGGAATTAGTAATTATACTAAAATGGTTGCGATTAAAGATCCTTTCAAATATGGTAACGCGTTGAACTTGCAATAGTAAAGTATTGGATCAACAACCAATGGCGCCCAGGTAACACAAAAACTAAATTAAGAATGTACTCACTAACCTTTATCATTTGGTCACTGCTTACTGTCGCCATCCGTCTTCCGTAGAAGTCATAAGCAATGTCGTGGATCTGATCGACATGATTGGCCGGAATACTACGTGAAACGAACATGACACAATAATGTCCGGTAACCGGTCAATTTTACTTGCCTAAATAGAGTAGAAAGAAAGAGAATGAATGCAAAAGTATGAGATCTAAAGCAGGATGAAAATGAAAGAAGGAAAATAAGAAAATGAAACATTAAAAAGTGACATCAAAACCAAGGCAAGAAAATATAACCTAGAGGCTTAGCATGGCTAGTGTCTCAAGATAAATTAAGACAAGGATAAAGAGACGTTTTAAAAATACATGATGAATAATAAACAAATAATGGGAATCAAAATGAGAGCAAAAGAGATTTTCGAGAAACTTAACAAAAAAAGGTATTGATCAGCGGCTAATATAGGGTAGAATACAAGATTCATCTGCTGTGACCATTCAAATTTCAGGCAATCTGTCCAGTTCCTTTTATTTCAAAAACTTTAATTCAAGGACAAATATTCGGCTATAATAACAAAATTATTTGTCGAAAATAAATCTCAAAGGCCCTCTTATGCTGCAAGGCAGTATAATACAAACCTAACGTCGTTGCCATTAAGACAGAGGAATTACGTAGTAAGCAATATAATGAAGCCAGCAAACTTGTATACATTTTACCTTGACCTAGCAATCTATCTTCATAATAATTCAGGCGTTTTAATGGATATACCAAATCAGGGAGAAAGTTTATTCTTAAACAATGTCTGGAGAAACAATCATTGCATAAACTTTAGCACATTTTGAACTCTCGTGTGATTATGGATGGACAAGTTGGAAAAGCCTATTTAGATATATATAAAGGCAAAAGTGGCCTGGCCTTAAGTTCGTTTGCAATCTCCTTTAGCTGTATACTGTTGGTTTCACCTTGTTTTCACAACTCGGTCGGAAGGGCAGGGGAAGCTTGGAGAGCATACCAAGCCCCGTGTCCTCTGCAACAATATTCATGATAATTTCCAGCATCAAGTTAATGGTATGATGACGAAAATTATCATGAATACTGTGGCAAAGAACGCAGGATTAGGTAGGCTCCACAAGGCCTCCCTGTGGCTCCGACTAAGTTGTGTAAACAAGATACCAAATATTTGAGAAACTTCCTTTAATAGTTTACTGATCTAAGCCATAATTCAGATAGTGGAATATCAGTGCGGAAATGGAAGGTGATAGAAGTTAAAGACATTAAAAGAATCAAATTTAATACTTTCTAGATGATTCTACAAAATTTATTACCACTTTCACTGCTCATTAGATAACTGGTTGGAACGAGTCACTGCATCTATAGGGTTGGGGAAAGCAAGCTTGGATATAAAACGAACGATGGAGGAAAAATAGGATTA